ATTGATTTGGTCATTGTGTGCAGGCAAGGGATCGACATGTTCATTGACAGACTTCATGTCGGAACGAAATACCGTCCTCTACTTCTGTGCTCAGAGATCGCTTTTCTCGACTGCGCGGCAAATTTGTGTGAGAGATAGTACAACGTTGATCCTTTTTCTACTTATAACTACTTTCACATTCTCCCCTTAATGAAAACCGACACTTAAAAAGCCAAGGTCTAATTCCACTCTGTTGTATTAGTTTGTTATGTGTGTAGTCGTAAGGACTCCAGAATCATTTTAACTCAGTGCTCCGAGATGACCCTGTGTACGTGACTTCATTCTTCATTGATGTGTAATCCTCAACTCGACATGTGTCTTATGGCACAATTTTTGTTATCGCCAGTAGCAAGCTGGTGGACGGCCGGGCAGAATGGGATAGAGGAAGATTCTGTGGGATACGAGGTAGTCTATATCCAGGAATGTAAGACAGAAGTATCCCAACAGTGACAAATTAGTAAATAACAACAAAGACGTTGGCCACTAAAAACAACGTGCTTTTTAGCGTCTTAATGAAAATTCTGGCAAGTTACTTACAAAGGCATATTTAACTGAGTAAATCAAAAAGCTGTTTAATGTCACTGCAATCCTAACCACGGTAGTGTGTGTGACGCGCTTACTTGCCTTGTCTATATACGTCACTACGTAAGGCCTGTGGCGTACTGATAATCGGTAACAACGGCGAAACAGCTGTCAGCGTTTGGCATGTTGCACCCTTAGCGACATATGTACCTATGTATCCCATGTGGCATGTATCCGATGACACAACGTTCGGTATCACTAGTAGCAACCTGGCGGATGGACAGAATGGTCTCGAGCACGATCCTAACCACAGTAGTTGGGTGACGCGTTTACTGGACGCTCTCTTTGCTGTGTCCCAGTTCACGCTCACTTGCGTGGACGGTGGTAAATATGCATGCCTATCGACAGATTTCTGGTGCCCAAAATGCGGGTTGGAGAAAAGCATGGGACTTTTTTTACTTCATTTCGCTTTTTGCCATCGACAGCCGTAAGGTAGTACACACTAGTCTAAATCTCTTGTTCCGGTCTTTGGAAGGTGGCCTTAAAATAAATGACATATATTTCTAACTGTTGTATAATATATTATGCTATTCTATAACCTGCAGTGAAATTTAAAGGTACTTTTGCAAAAGCATTGAGGCGTTTCCAAAGAGGAGCTACCTATTACCTTCTGCTTGTTTAGTTTAAACAAAGAAATATCGTCAATTGTGTCAGCTGAAAACACTCTTAAGGTAACAGTTACCTGCGCCAGTAAGAAAAGGTTTGATTAGAGTCGGACAGAAGCCCACGGTAGCAGCGGACTCCGAGACAGTTGGCATTTTGCCGCCTTGTGGCTCACACCTTTTCGTAAATACATAAGTTCAAACTTACCTTATACATCCTTAGAGCGCTATCAGCACTATTCTCCTTGCCTGCATCGACATGACGCATCTGGTCACCATCCGATGCAGACCTCAAAGGTGAATTTGTCGAAATAAAAAGGAGGTACTGAGGGCTCGACTTAGACTTACGTGATTGCCTTCGACTCCAATATTCATTCGAATTTCTGGACTGACCCTAAAATGTTCTGTCCTCAATAATTTCCAAAATCATAATTTTGAAATGTATTTGTAGTTCAGATATCAGAAATCAACATAGGAGAGGCTGGAGGATCTACTGTGGAGTTAAACCCCTCGCAGTTGAAGCATGCAGCAGTGGAAACATCGTTTTCGGTTTTTTTCCAGTACTTACCTACGGTAAAAACCTTGATAAAATGAGAATTAACTATAATTTTTACTTGAGTCATTATCTTACCAGCATTTGAAAATGTGTTTAAACTAGCGTTTTCACGATCCTAATAGTCAAGTCAAGTCAAATTTATTAAAGGAAATATAGGCAAACGCCTTTGA